AGATTTGTCCGAAAGTTCGCTTCTTGGACTGCTGTTCCTTCCTTCCCTCTCAGACCCTAGTTTTTTCCCTAAATACTTTTTGTTTTTATAATTATTTAGGTAATGGTATTAGCTGCGGATCTCTGTCATGTTTCATCATGTTTTGATATTTGGTTGTAGGTAGCATCCGGGTTGGATAAGTTGTCCTGTTTTTACTGTTATGTCTATTAGCATCATAGTTGGCAGACCCCATCTTTGAATCAATAAACGTAATGTTAAGTTTGTTAAGTCCTTGCACGGTGACATTGGAAACAAATACTTATTATGTGATTATTTGAGTTCTTGATGTGTCAACCTCACCATGCGCTTAATAGGGCGATAATATCAACTTTGCATGGAACATGTCTATTTATATATTATCATATGCATTTTTCCTTTAATCTGGATATAAAGCAAAGCGGATGACCGGTGTGATAAGGATTTAACATTTGATAGCTCTTTTAATGTGATGTTGCACCCCGCGCCCCTGTTTTTTTTATTATTTCATTCACAGATTATTTGTTGTTGATTTGTTTATTTTTGAGTCACGGTTGTTGATTTTTCAAGGGGGATCATGTGGGAATCCCACAGTTGTTACCAGTTGTTGCAGTGGTTTAGGGCGCTATGCAGCACTTTCAACACCCTGGCTAGTTGGCAGTCACTCTGTTGTGTTTGTATCATGTGCCAGCGGCCCGCTCTATGTACGTCACAAGCCATAGTATATTGTTTGAGCGAGTGACCTGTGTGTTTGTGTGTTTTGGTGTGTGTGTGTGGTGTGTGTGTGTGAGAGAGAGAGAGAGAGAGAGAGAGAGAGAGAGAGAGATATTACAGGGCTTGTAAATAATAAAAATCGCGGAAGCGACAAAAAGGCGAAACCAGCCACCCACCTCCATGCATCATCATCATCATACATGATCCCCGTTCGGCTGGGCAGGACGAGATTAAATGATGACCAGAGGACAAGAACATGTCCATAAATTAATAATAACACGAATAATTAACTTTTGACGCGCCTATGGCAGAGTGGTGTGACTGATGGGTGAAACAGGCTTAAACCCGTAAATAGGAGTAACAAAAATCTCATCCAATTATAGTGTAAGTATTGAGTTTTAAACGCTGGAAGTCGTTCAGATTTCACAGAAATCAAGCCAGTGGTGAAAATCTGACAGAGGGATATGAAGGTAATTCCATTTGCTTATCCTTTCTGTGTCAATAAATACACACATTATATACTCCATGATATTCATAGAATGTACTCGTTGCCTTGTTGAAATCTTGACCTGTAAATCTTAAAAAGAGATGTAATAACACAGTATAACACATAAAAATTCAATTTATTTGCAATGTATCCAGTCAAATATGATCTTCTACAGCAGTGAATGCGCACCGTTTATACGCGCGGCCACCGCTGGTAACCCTGATGGATAAATAGAGATCCACGTCTAGTGGACCTTAAAGGGAACAGAGAGGCGGTTGCATTAAAAAGGTTGGATGCGGTTTAGAAGAGATAAACTACAGAGGGATGCCTGCATCCTTGTCATAATACTTGCACAGAATCAGTGTCCCTTGTGCTCCAGTGATGAAACCACCACTAAAAATGAAGTTATTTCTAAACGTTTGTTTATCCGAGAAAAGATGGGGTATGTAGGTGTTTGGAATATGCTTTTTCATCTGTTAAAGGAATGTTGACCATTTGTCCTCGAGTGACCCCCCCCCCCCCCCCCCCCCCCTTGGTGCGAAGGTGTGAAGTTTTATTCACGAAACGAGTTGGTTTTGGATTTGACGAAGATTTTGGCGTAATTTAAAAAGAAAATACTTATTCCAGTATTTTATTTGTTAGGAATGGTGTCTCTTGCAGCGCCTGTCCATATTTCTCAGGATTTCTTTTCGCATGTCTCAGGAACGAGAGAATCCAGCATGAAGGTGACAGTGGCACACGGACTGATACCGTCCCCTGCTAGAGCTCCAAATCTGGATAAAAAACGTATTTGGGAAGTTAAAGGAACACAAAAGAGAGTCAGAGAGCCACAGACACAAGATTATACAAATATACGCGTGAACACGGATTAAGTTCTGTCTGCAAGAAGGCAAGGCAAAGTGATGAAATATGCGTGCGCTAGTGTGTGCGTGTTTGTGTGCGCACCTGAGCGCGCGAACGATCTGTCTGTATCGGATTTGTGCGCGTGCTGTAGCCAGGGGTTTGTCTGTAAAAGCAGGGGAGCGCGCACTCATGCTCGCTCACAAGCGCACTGGCAAAATATAGTTGTTGTTTTTTTCATATTTGGTACAAGCTTATTTCTCCCCTAATTAATGAGTCATTAGAATCGTTACACTGCCTGACGAAGTGGATTACGTTTATGTTTGGTTCCATACCATCCTGTTTGTTTTTCTCATCTCTAAAAATGTCACCTCTTTTTCTTCAGTAACTGTGGAAATCAGACCCTTTTCAAGACCACCACGAGTTATTTTTATTTATTTTTTTTACTGCTGAGGAGCTTACAAATTACGTACTCTTCCCAGCCCACACAGGGGACCATGCAATCCTTAACACAAAAATCACCTAAACTGGAGTTAGTAGCAGCTCTTCATTTGACTGCAGCTTTACACTGGAGATGGAGGATGGAGGATGGGGGGGGGGATGTATACAGATGCCAATTGTGAACCATATGGCCCCATTCCAAAAACCTTATCTGTGTTTTATGAATATTCATATATTCTGTGCGCAGGAGTACAGTCAAGTCATCTGTTCCGAATGCAACTGTTTGTGTGTGTGTGTGTGTGTGTGTGTGTGTGTGTGTGGATAAACTACATT